AGTAAACTTTCGCCCGAAAATATCGCTCGCCCGAAAATATCGCATCGTCCCGACTAGCAGCCCCTGGGTCTCCGAGGATGTTCACACACCCGCCCTAATATTTACTGGCGGGTCCGGCCAAAACAGTTTGTTAGTGTTGATAGCTGTACCTATAGGATAGAACGCTGGATAGAAAATTATAGCCAAAAGGCGCGCATTGTGGTCTCTCCTTTCTCATCGTTTGACAGTAAATGTACCGGATATCTAAAGTAAGCTATTGTAGCTATGTACATGCAATTTCTACATAGAAAATTAAGATAAACAGCATATGTTATAAATTTTCTTTGTTTAAATAGCACTATGTGTTAATATCTAGCCAAGATAATACGGATCAAACTAATGTTATTTAACGGAAAGCACGGTGCACTATTATAAATAAGTACGTAATGTAAGGTATTAATAAATTGTAAGCAATGTTAGCATTGTAAGTTGTGTTTCGGTTGTGCATGTTAAATTGTAAGTTATGTTAGTACTGTAAGTGGAGTAAGTATCGCAAGCAATGGTAGGGTTTGTAAGCTAGTTCATTAATGCAACTCGAAATACAACTAGTGAAGATAATACATTGTAACTAACGTTATTGTTGCAAAGCAAAGGAACATGTATCAACTGTCGAGGCCGTATTTTCTGTCACCGGAACTGAAAGTCATTGGGTCATGTTGGCGCCGGTGACAATTTTGGGTTTAGAGTGCATCAACAGCGGCTTTGTCTAGCTTTTCACTTAGTCTAATGAAGATGACTTTCATACGAGAACTTCTCAAAAGAAAAATAACAGCATCTGTTAAACGATGGTGGTCGAAGATAAACGACTACCACCAAACTGATCACACCGACTGAAATTGACCAAACACTGATGAATGTCGTCGTCTTAGGGAGCCGAGTGCAGATTATAGACCATCTCGCAAATGTCTTTATTTGCACTGCACTGCAAAATAAATTAAAAATTAACGAGAAAAATTTGCCTACTTTTCCGCCTATCAAAATGAACTAATTTTTTTAGTCATATAATAAAGCGAGTTATTCGGACGTTTCACTATTATCTTAAGATCATTATAATCTTAAGAAGATTATAGTTCGCACCAACTTTTCTTAGCGATGGGTTGTACAAAAGTGTTGATATTTTTCCTATTACAATCTACCGCCATTTTCTCCACTAGAGAAAACTCCACATCTTCTCGTTCATCATACTTCGAATTTCGAGATTATAAGCAGCTTAAGGGTGAAGGGGGGTGCGGGGTGGGGGGCGGGGGGACAGGGGGCTCAGAACCTTCCGCCTCCCGTACCCTGCTCTCCCGCTTCCCGCACCTTTATCTCCCGCCTCCCGCCCTTTTCCGTCCTGCTCCCGTCCCCTGTAAATTGGCAGAGTCAAAACACATTCTACTCATTTAGCTTCGCAATTCTTAGGCATTTCCTTTGTTTTTAAATAATTTAACAAGATTACCACTGCCATATGTTTCAATTCAATGAAGTTTTGACCTACTTGTTTATCTTCTTTGAGTTTCA